GAAAAATGAATAAGACAATGATAGAACATCTATGAAAAAATAAAAAAAAACAATTTTTTTTTGTTTGAAAATAAAAAAATTCTTGATGTATGTTGTTTTGAATCTGAATCTGGTCTGTTCATCTATTTTTTTTGTAGGTATCCTTTTTTATCCATTTTCCATAAAAATGCTTCAAATTTGTAGAAAAAAATGTTAATAGTTAATTATATATATAATTAACTATATATATAAAATTAAATATAAAAAATATTTTATAAATATTTTATCTGAATATGTAAAATTAGATATATTATATTAGATATATTTTCGAGAAATATTGAAAATTATGAGATGTCAAATCATTTTATTCCGAATTGTATTATTATTTTATAATTTGCTGCGTAATTTTAACTTTATATAATCGTATGTTGATCAATTTTAATTTTATTGAGATTTATGCATCTTTCTTTTATCACGCGATTTTACTAATTTTGTCTTATCAGAATACCCGAGCAATTACGTTAGTCGTTAAAGAAAATAAAAAATTAAAAAAAAATCTTATCCTAATAAATAATATATATTTATCTGTATATATTTAATTTCTTTTTTTAAAAACGTGATATTTTAATAATGTAATAATGTAATAATATAAAACATATATAATATATAATGTAATAATATAAAATTTAAATTCATTTTATTTAAATTCATAAAATATTTTCATATTTATAAATTATAATTATATGATAATGAGTTTTATATTATATGTAAATTATATAAAAATTTTATTATATTTATATTTTTTATTATATTTTTATTATATTTATACTTATTAATTATATTATAAGTTTTATAATTATAATTAATAAAATATTAAGATGACAAACATTATTATATCAAATATTATTTTATATTTATATTTTATATTATAATTGTATATACATTATTATATTATACTTTATATATGCAATATTTATAATAGTTTTATTTTTCCATGTATAATACAAAACTTTCCAATATATATTTTAGTACCATATTATACGATAATAGATTACTGATCTATATCATCATATAATATATAAAAAAAATTTTTAGTTTATATTTAATCAATTACTGCGATATAAAAAAAATGTAAAATTTTAAATATAACTTATTTTATTTAAGATATTAAATAATCATATCATTGATATTTTGTTAATTATTTATTTATAATTATTGTTAATTAAAATATAGATTTAAATAAATAATAATTTTTTAAGATTTTTAAATATTCACATAAATATAAATTCCAAATTTTTAATGCAAGTTTGTCGATCACGTGATATAGTATACGAACTAATTTATCAGCATGACGCGGTGGTCGTATGAGTAATCGCGTGGTTTAACCTCATTCTTTTAGTAACAAATACAACAGTTTATCGAGAGATGTTCGATCAAATAAGAGGTAATTTATATGAAAATAGCGAGTATGTCTTCAAAACATTTGTTGAAACGATTAGATTGTCACTTTACTAATTTTTTCCATCAATCGAGTCATTTACGTTATGCTATTGGAGACCTTGATGCCAAACATAATCAGTTGAATGACAGGTAAAACAAAAAATTTTTAATTTTCAAATTTCCAGATAGTAGAAAAATTATAAAATTTTATAATTTAAAACAATTATTTATGGTTATTATTAATGTT